CCCGGAGATTTGTCCAGGCCAACCTGATTCAGTGCTTCCCAGATTTCCGACTGTAATGGGATCCTCGCACCTAGCCGCTTCAGTTGCCTCAAGAGAGGGAAAGTCGGCTAAATAGGCGTCGAACTGAGCAGAGCTCAGACCGGGCTCTCTGATGAAAAGTTCCTGAAAGTACTCAAGAAAACCCTCACATATGCCCTCGTTTGTAGTCACGGTCCGCTTATCCAGCAATGTCGGATATGTCGCCGAGATGCACTCCGAACCTCCTCTGCACGCAGTTCAGCGGCCATATTCGTTGCCTCAGAGGACATTCTTTTTAACCTAGCCCTAACTACCAGAGCTTGATCCTTCTTGATAAGTAAGGAAGCCAACTCTGCTTTAGCTAAGGCTATGTCCCCACTGTCACGGGATTTAATCGCCCGATCAACTTTTTGCTCACAAGCAGTTTGCGCTGCTAATCTATCTAGATTGAGCCGACGACTATAATCAGCAGCAAACATTCTAATTTTAGATTTAAGTTTATCCAACCAGGCATTTCCCACCACAGCGCCCGTCAGTTCCCTCTGTATCATTAGTAGTAGCTGGTCCCGGAAATCGTGCTCCCCAAATAATGAGCAGTTCAATTTCCACCAGCCATCTTAACCTTAGGCTTATCTAAGTTTACACGGACCCGGACTAGCCTATTATCCGAATAAAGTATATAATGGAAACTTGGACACCATAAGAGCCCTACATCGACTCTCCCAACTAAGACTCGGTCGAGGTAGCTAAAACGCACCTCGGTAGCCGAGCCGCCACTATTAGGCCAAATCCACACTACCTCCCGAGGGTGTTCATTCTGGTACTTATCGACATGATCAAACTTATTGATAAAGTCCCGAAATATTTTCACATCCCGGTTGTTAGTACCCGAATTTGACCCTATACGATCTATATCGGGGTCAAGGGCGGCATTCCAATCCCCCGCTAAAACTACCCGACGTGATGTGGTCAAGAACGGTTCGATCTGCCGAAACAAAGCAAGCCGCTCAAAATGCTTATTGGGCGCATAAACCCCAATGAGACGTAGAGCCTTATCCTTTATGGTAACATCCAGTACGCAAAGTCTGCCCGCCGGATCTGCGAAGACAAGAGCACACGCAGCCTTCAAAGACTTGCTCACCAGCCAAGAGACACCCCTCGAGCGTCCATCATAACATGCTGAATAGAGAGGGAAAACCGCATAGACAGAATGTTCTCATGATCGCGAGAAGAAAAACGGGTCTCTTGCACATAACATACATCCGCCCTGAGGCGCTGAAGGTCTCGATAGAGCCTCGCCCTTTGAGACTCGGACCTCAGGCCTCGGACATTCAAATTAGCTAACCAGAGAGACATTATCAAACCGATTAGGGTTTCTTACCTGAATTAAACAGGATACTGACAGCCTCCCCCATCGTCCCGTGGCCCATCCCAGCCTTGATGGCGCCGTCTTGGGAGAGACCGCCTATATCCCACGGGAAAGTTAACTTTAGTGCTCTATATAGGGAGGGGTGAACAAAAACAAGGACCCTCCCAGCACAAAATTGTTTCAGTTTCTTCAATTTGTCGTTTTCGACAATAGCAATGGGAGGGGACATTTTGAAAGAGGCTATTGCCTCGTCGAGCATAGTCCAAACGTGTCGAGTCCCAGATCTCATCACAGCACCCTTTGTGCTTCTGGGAAATTTATTTTGGTCCTCTATCTCTTTGTCTGCAAATTGTTTTATGGACAGTAGATATCTTAAGTTTTGTATCCTATTTCCGTAATTCCGAGCTTGGGAAATACGACATGCCTCCTCTCCTGAGTTGTATATATGTTTGAGATTTCTTTTCTTTTTCTGTCTTGTGATGAACTTCTTAGTCTCTTGTTCGGGGGTGGGGGTGTTTTAATGGGAGAGGGATGGGATACGATTTGTCTTTTTTGGCTGGGGTCTCTACTGAAAGGGGTTGAGCGATGGGACGAATGAGTCTGTTGTGAATGTTGGGCAGAAGATGAGGAGGGAGTGGCATTTTTCACCAGTGAGTTCTTTTTTGGACTGGGTTCTCTACTGAGAGGGGTTGAAGGATGGGAATATTGTGAGAACTGTTGGGCAGAAGATGGCTTTTTTTAACTGGAGACGACTTTCGTAGACTTTGTTTTTCTAGTTTTTCTTTCAGCTTTTTGATTTTCTGTTTTTTCGAAGCCTGGGTCGTACTTTTTCTTTAAATCTCTAAGAATAGGTTGAGAGACCAGGGCGTAGCCCTTAATGTTGACAGAGGGAGAGTGACTGTCGGTGTCTTTTGTCCCAAGGGCTTCAGGGGATTGAGGACCCGCTGTCTGGCGCTTCCCTCTGGCCCTGCCAGCAACCTGCCATCCCCCTCTCCCTTCTCCACAACTGCACTTGCAGTGGGCGAAAGCTCTTCGGGGAATGGGGGCTTAGATGTAGACCTAACCGGGGGTTTCTCGACTCCGGTCCCGGAAGTTGGCATGTCTATTACAGGCGAGGCGGTATTCAAAGACGCGGTCAGAGGGCGAGTTTGGTCGATTGGGGCCTGACTTCCAGGGGCCTTCTTCTCTTGGCAGAAAAAGGAAAGGTGGCCAGTCTGTTCTTACCTCCAACACACCGATTTGCGGCCGGTCATAATGACCAGCAGCCTCAGGCCCCCTACTTCTAGACAGTTGGGGATGGAGAGGAAGGCTTTTTGGTCTAACATGATGTCAAAACTCCATCCCCCGGTCAAGCTATCGCAGGAAGCACCTAGTAAATCGCCATACTGCGAGAAGAAAGCCGCCATGTGTTCCCCGATAATCAGAGTAGGGGCCACATATATCGCTAACTGGTCTTTCTAGCTTCATAGTCTGTTCGCAGAATGATATCTTTTGTTATTATTTCTCTACTGGTCGCTTTGACACAATCTTCCGGTGTGGGTAACAATACGTCTCACATGAAAAAACCCGAGCCCTTAACAATTTTTAATGACTTAAACCCCTGGGACTCCAGTGTTTTTACCACTGTGTCTTTCGTCGAACGACAAATTCTGCGCATACGCTTGTCGACGACGAAGACTGACACTATTCTTTTTTCGATCTTCTTTAGTTCTATGGGTCCTGCAAGAGCCCACCTTCCATGACAAGATGTGCGTAACTTTTGGCACGCTCCAAGAACTCCGCTATATCGATTATGCATTTTGGAGGGAACTTCCAACAACAGGGCGAATCCCCGGCCTCCGCTTTATTTCCGGTCTTATTTTTTTGGCCATTATTGGTCTCCATAGCTTGGATCTCTGCTTCCTGGCTATTATTGGCCACCATACTTTTTTTTTAGTTTGGCCATTATTTTTTTTAGTTTGGTCCCCAAACTTTGTTTTTTCCTGGCTACCAACGGCCTCATCATTACCGGGAACTAATGCCGGGTGTTCATCCTGATTGTCTTCATCAGGTGTGTCTTTTTTTTTTTTTTATGGAAAAAAAAATGCTTTCTGACCGACCTCCTAAGGTCGGCCACTTTCGTTTTTTTTTTTTTTTTTGATAATTAAAAATGAGAGGACTCTTTTTTTCTCCATTTTCAAGGGGAAGGGGTGAAAAAGGAAAAAATAGTTAAGTTTAAAAAAATGTAAACAATATTACAAAAGGTAATATTAATTAAGTAAGGTTCACTTAACAGCGAGACTATAAAATTAATAATAACAATATAAACGAAAAAAAAAAGAAAAAAAAAGGTCGACAGACGAGAACAATATAAACAAGGTCCACCCGTAAGTGAGACTACAAATTTACAAAGACAAACACAAAACAGAAGGATGTACAAAAAGTTTAAATAGACAAACAAAGAAACAAGGTTCGCCTAAAGGCGAAACAAATTAAAACAAATTTAAACAAATAAAAAGAAAACGCAAAACAAATGGACGTACGACAAACGAGAACAAGTGAACAAGGTTCGCCAAAAGGCGAAACAACAAATTTTAAGACAGTCACAAAAACGAAGAACATACAAAAGATTAAAAGGACGACAGACAAGAAAGCAACAAATTACACAATAAAACGAAGAGTTATAAACGGAAAAGTAAGAAAACGCTCTACAAATAAAATACGAAACGATAAATGTAACAATTTACAATATGGCTGCCGATAAAAAAACGGTCTACCCTAAAACAAAACGATAAACAAGGAAAGAAAAAAAAGGACATGATATACGAAATAAACACAAAATTTACAAACAAATATATTACAGAAGAAATTAACAGATAAAACACAGAACTTTACGGATATTTAAAAGAAAAAACACAGAAATAGAGTAACACGTAATAATAAAACAAAAGAAAAATAAAGTCGAACGGAAAACGTAGAAACAAGAATTAACCAGATAAACTCTGGGAAGTGAGTACGGGAAGAAAATAAATTCAAAAAAGGAAAAAGAAAGTGTAAGAGAAAATCAAAAAGTTAAATAATAAAAGATAATTAGCAAAATAAAGTCAAAATAAAAATGGGGAGGGTAAGGAATTGAAAAGGAAAACACAAAGATTTGCAAAACAGTCAAAACGAACGTAAGAAAAACGGTAAAAATAAATCAAAACTTAACAGAATAACAGCAGTTAGCGGTTCCAAAGGATTCTCAGAGAGAACGGAAAAAATGTCAAACACGGTCCAAAATGTTTATTCAACTGAGAATACAAGGTTCGCGTATAGTCCCAGTAAACAGAAATAGCTCACTCAAAGAGAAGAGTAACAAAACAAGGGGAGACCACTCTTGATTTTTCATAACCGTATCAACACCATAGAGTTGCGGTAGTGGGGTGGAAAGGGGATTGGGTAGTAGAGTGTAGCTACCCCTTCTTTTATGGAGGAGGGGGCACAAATATATATTTTGCTTTCAAATAGAAACAAAATGACCAACAATTACAAAATGCGCAAATCTTTCACCAGCCAGTAGTGAAAAACGGAAAAAGACAAAGAAATCAATGATGATACGAGCCAAATCAAAATTAACAAAGCTTTAATGCTATTAATACAAAGGAGAAAAATAGAAAGATACATAGATATGAATAGACTGAGATAGCTGGGATAGATAGATAGATAGATAGATAGATAGATCTGAATAGACTGAGATAGATAGATAGATAGATCTGAATAGACTGAGATAGATAGATCTGAATAGACTGAGATAGATAGATAGATAGATCTGAATAGACTGAGATAGATAGATAGATAGATAGATAGATTTGAATAGACTGAGATAGATAGATAGATAGATAGATAGATCTGAATAGACTGAGATAGATAGATCTGAATAGACTGAGATAGATAGATAGATAGATCTGAATAGACTGAGATAGATAGATAGATAGATAGATAGATAGATAGATAGATTTGAATAGGCTGAGATAGATAGATAGATAGATAGATCTGAATAGACTGAGATAGATAGATAGATAGATCTGAATAGACTGAGATAGATAGATAGATAGATTTGAATAGACTGAGATAGATAGATAGATAGATTTGATAGATGAGATCTGAATAGACTGAGATAGATAGATCTGAATAGACTGAGATAGATAGATAGATAGATTTGAATAGACTGAGATAGATAGATAGATAGATAGATAGATAGATAGATAGATAGATAGATAGATCTGAATAGACTGAGATAGATAGATCTGAATAGACTGAGATAGATAGATAGATAGATAGATCTGAATAGACTGAGATAGATAGATAGATAGATAGATAGATAGATAGATAGATCTGAATAGACTGAGATAGATAGATAGATAGATAGATAGATAGATAGATAGATAGATAGAATACTAATTACTGGTAGGATTTGTGAATGACCTCTACATAAATTTATTCCCAAATTTGGAAGTCCTGAAGCAGGCCGTGTTTAGGGGCAATTAAAGTGACCATACTCGATGATAGTAGAAATCGTTTGCGCCAAATGAAAATGGGGTGAGGCAAAGCCAGTGGTAGGGTCTCGGCCACTACCTGAAACTTTGATACAAGACTCCCTCTCTCCATCATGTCGATTACAAAATTTCCCAACCTGGTGCCACAGACAGTCGAAGGAAAATTAAGGCGGCAGTACGGAGCTGTTTTTAAATTACTAAATATCAGGGACTTATCCAGTTTAAATGAAATATTCAATATATTTTCCTAAATTATTTATTTTTATAATGAATAGGGTTTTTTTATATTTTTAAAAAATGTGAGAAAATGTTATTCTTTTTGAAATAACCACCAATATTTTCATGACTAAATTTTTACATTTCAATAAAGATTAATCGCCGACGAATCTCCGCTAAAAAAGTTTTACAAAGATTCCAACAACACATGAAAGAACATCCCTGACAAACTGAATTTTCTTAACAAAAAACAAAACGGTGCTAATAATGTATGACAGGACTTGATGTAATTTACTGTTTTGCCGATCGAAGCAAAATATCCACACGTCTTTACTATTTCTCTTGACAAGCGAAACTAATGAAAAAAGATAAACACGTTTAATTTTTTTTCAAACCATTTTTGGTTTGAAAAAAATTTAAACCTCTTTATACTTTTTCATTAGTAACAAAAAAATCAATGAATTTTATTTTTTTATAAATTTAAATAAAACATTCTTTTTCACGTAAGATGGCCGAAAAATATCAATAGTGTTAAAAACTCTTATTCAGACATCCAATTAATGACTTAAAATTTCATACAAAAATATTTCGCCAAATCCTCCATATTTGTCTTCTTATAAATCTGGCTCTGCTTTGATGTCTTCTTGTGTGTCTCAGTTTATTTTTTTATTACCTCTGCTAACTGTGTATTACAGACAGAGAGGGGAGAAATAGTGTGTGTGGAACACATGAAATATGACCAATTTTTAAGTAGGGTCTTAAATTACACTTCCTTTTGCCTACACACAAAATGCAATGATTTGTCTTGAGCATTTTCAATTTTTCACAAACAAGAACAAATGAGATTGTCTTAAAAATTTGTTTTAAAAACAGTATTTCAGTTTTCGGGAAAATTTTTCATGTGTTTAAATCTTTAAACAATTTTATTCTTTAAGCGATCATTTTCTCAGTTTTATCTTTCTAGAAATGTAAAAGATTGGGACTAGAAATTTTATTTTAATTACTAGCCGTGGACTTCTAGTTAGTAAAAAAAATAAATCAAAGATCCTCCTTAGTGGATGATGTCGAAATAAAAAATGATTTTATCGTGATATATTACCGTCTTAATTGATTTAAAAGAACTGTTCAGAAAGAAGTTTACAATTAAAAAAGAAATAAGCGCTACTGAAATTAGCACTTCTGCACCCCCCCAGTAGGCATCCGGCCCCAACGCGGTTGAGAGGTTCGGGGTAGTAAGCACTATCGATTATTAGAGTTGATGATTGACAATATAACTTAGGCAAAAAAAAAAAGTAAAAAGTACAAAAAAAATAAAAAAATAAAAATAAATAAAAATAAATAAAAAATAAAACGCTGCTGAAACTAGACCTTTTCGGGTTCCAACCTCGTCGGGGGGGCTCCTGCGTAATACGCACCGCACCGGCCATGAAGATACATAATGTATATTATTAGTCGATGACTGACAATGTAATGTCAGTTTAAAAATGACTAAATGCTGGATGGCCATAAAACAGTACTGAAAAAAAATCGGGGTTTCGCGGTTAAGACATACCGGCCCTGAGGTGAGGTATGATTGAGGACCAGCAATTGAACCAGAAGGGATACAGACTACACAAACGATCGCACTTAATAAAGAGATTCCGGAATTAAGAATGTAACCAAAAGAATTCATTAAAGTTATCTTTCTGTTTGATAACTTTAATAATGTGTCTTGGTTGGGGTTTCAAGCTGTTAGTGAACCATCGTTGTTTTGTTCTGTCGATTTAAATCCGTTTCGGACGTCGAAATGTAAAGAAAATCCGACCAAATTTTGCCACCTACATCGCCTATTTTACTCGGCGCCTAGATAAAGCCGACCAGCGTGAAGGGGGAAAAAAGAGCAATGCATCTATATAATAAATGCGAATGTCAGTATGTCACACTTTTTCAACTTTACTCCTAGATGCCGTAGTCCAACATATCATTTTGGAATCGGGCCGACTCCGTGAGCAAAGTAAATCCATTTCGGGCTGGATCCGAACCCGCAATCCTGAAATTTTGGATTCCCAAGTTTTAATTACTGCGATTGTCTTCGGATTCCACCATCTTGGCTTCTACTGATAAAAACAATTAAAGGGACACAATTCTTTAGCTTTCAATAGCTCATGTTCAAATGAAAAAATTACTATTCTCAAATTACAGTGTTTCAAAATAAAACTGTCCGTGTTTTCCGTACTCGCGATCCTGAAATTTTGGATTCCCAACTTTTCATTACTGCGATTGTTTTCGACGATTTTTTACGTGATTTTTTGCGATGAATTTTTTTGTAGGATAAGAATTTTTATAACTTCTATGCACCGTGCCCTTCAGGATATAGGCGCCCGTGGCTCTTCACTTGTTTTTGTCTTTTATAGCTCTTAATAAATTGTGTCTTTTTGTCCAGTTGCCTCGACTACATGAATTTAAGCGTGTGTGCTACTAGATTGGCAAATTTTTATAGCCAAATGCAACTGCCACTTCCTACTCCAAGAGTTTCTGTTCTCGCACTTACCACCCATGGAACTCCCTTCCGATTTCTTGCTTCCCTGACAACTACAATCTTCATAAATTTAAATGCAACATCAATCGCCATCTTCCGTCTTTTTGACCACTCTTCATTTTTTTGCCGTTTCATCGATCCTCCCCATTCTCATTTTCTTCCACTTTCACTCGCAGTAACTCCCTACGTTCCAGTGGTACTGTCGCCTTGCTTGGGGTGAAATGATTAAAAAATTGTAGTCGCCCCCTTGACAAAGTGGACCAGTGCGAAGAATTAAAAGCCAATCACTTTTGAATGGAGCGTATGTGAGCTAGATCAGTGTTCAAGATTTTTCTTTTTTTTTCTCGCCGAAATCTATCTTACATATTTATATGTTTACTATTCGACCTTGCTTTGAATATTGCTGCCACATATTGTCTGGTGATTCTGCTATATATTTAGAGATCATTGATAAAATCCCAAGAAGAATCAGCAATATTATCGGTCCTGGTCTGCCATCTCAACTTCAATCCATTTCCCAGCGCCGTAATGCTTTCCTGTGCCTTTACGATAAATTCTTCCATGGTAATCGTTTTCATGAACTTTCCACTGTTACTTTTATCCCTCCCTAGACAAATTTTACATATGGGAACTAGTTATGACTTCATAGAGACTATGAGGTATTATGGTGGCTGTAGTAAGAATGGTAAATAAATGGTTGTTTGGGCGTAAACAGTATTGTATGTTTGGGTCAATAATTGTGGTTAACTAAGTTTAAGATAAGACAAACTGAATCTCAGCCTTCCCCCATCCCCACTTTTGGCCTTGTGCACACATTTTTATATTTTAAAATAAATATTACATTCTAGTATGGTAAATTTATGAATTTAAACGCAGTACTAGATTGACGGCAAGGTCTCATCAATTTATAGTTGAATTGGCTAGATGTAACCGCAAGTTCTATGCTAACAGTTTTTCTATTGCACTTCTTCCTTGTGGAACTCTCTTCCGGCTTCTTGATTCCAAGTCAACTTTGATCTTCAAAAATTTAAATGCAATGTCAATTGTTATCTTCTATCTTCTTAGTTCGTGTTCATTTATTGTCCTCTCTCCTTAATAGTAGTATTTCTCATATTCTCTAACACTCAGTAACATCTTTCACACTAGTGGCTTTATTGGCTTGCTTACTATGAAATGATAAAAATACATTTCAAATTGTTTATGTTAATCGAACAAAGGAAAATGTTTCTTTATTTAAAATTCCGTCCCCATGAAAAGATAGCAAATCCAAGCATAAATACCAAGTCGAAGGTTTACTGATCGCTTTATATATGCATTCATCAGCTAAATTCACATCAGTACATGGTGACGTGTACTTAGTTGGTTACATGATTCGTGACATGTCGTGCTATTTTTTTTTTAAATCACGGCATGGGATGGAATACGGGAGATGTTTCCTTGGACCACGCCAGGAATGTCCCACTTTGGTCAATCTGGCCATAGAATTTAAATTTTATTTTCCTTCTTTTCGTGGAAGAAAGCTATTAAGTTAAGGCGTCACTAGAGCGGATACAAACAAATAAATATGGACGTGGGAATGCGATAAGGTTCGTGTTTCAGGAGGAACGTTAGCGAGCTGAAAAAGATTTAACAAAAGTCAGCGTAGCACTTTGTAACGCTTATGTAATTCTCGCAATGACAACAGAAAAAAAAAATGATCTCAAAATCGAGCCTGCTTTCACTGCGTGACTACGACAAACAGCTGTTGGAGCGTGACACCTCTCCGCTAAACAAATATGACGTTAGCTGTTCTCTACACTTCTCACGACAGCAAACGGTAGAGACGCTTCACCCCGCCGACATACCTGTCGCCGGTCGGAGGTTGGGACCCCGAATGTAATACCACCATCAGAGTGTGCGATTTCATGATCATCTCCCATTACAAAGATCTACACAATAGGTTTTCTATTCATCGACAGATCGATATGAGTCAGCTGAAAATTGTTTGACTATCACTAGTTTAAAAAGAAAAAGCAATAGGTTAAAAAATTTAAAGCAGAGATAGATAGATAGATAGATAGATAGATAGATAGATAGATAAAAGAAATAAATAAAAGAAATACCGGTATGAATAGATCGGAATGTGGACAGTTTTGCTTTCTCGTCGAACTATTTTTTTTTTTACTGAGACAAAGTTGATATTTTGTAGCCATCTACATGAATCATAAATTACTCGACAACATCGCGTATTTCAGGGTGTTTACCACAAAAAATTGTGAATTTATTTAAAGAAAATTAATAAATAAAAATTATTATTTATTTACCAAAAATAAAGATTTTGCCTCCCCACATCCGAAAGTTGAGAGTTTCGAAGAAATACTTTCAAAATCCAAAACGGCGCAAAGTAGAAATTTTTTAGAAAATGTTATGACCCTAGAGACATAGGTGATCATGTCTCTCCACGGATTCCTTTTCTTTGTTATCTGTGAATTGCCATGCCCTTTTCAGACTAGCATATGCCTCATAACCCCAACGATAAGGTTTTATTCATTCTATATCATTTCATGACGTAGGTGATCATGACTCTCCACAGATTCCTTTTTCTTTATTATCTGTGAATTGCCATGCCCTTTTCAGACAAGCATATGCCCCATAACCCAAATGCTATATCACTTCATGATGTAGTTTATCATGGCTCTCCACGGATTCCTTTTCTTTATTTTCTGTGAATTTCATTGATTTTAGTGAAAGATAATGAAGTGATTTCCCGTCGCCTTCTCCAGAATAATGTATTCAGAATTTTCCTTCTCTTAAACTGGTTAACATCCAAAGCTAGATGGCCCTGTCTACTCTGCTTTTTAACCCATAGCTGGGAGCAGGAAATATTTTTCAGCTCTTCCTAACGGGGACGATGGCATAGACTTCCCAGGACGATATTAAGGATTTAAATCCTTGACCAATTGACCATGGTGAGATTTGAAACCCAGTTTTCATAGACTACACGTCCACTTAAGACTTGTGAATAAAATCCGTTAAAAGAAACCGTTTGAAAGTCGTGAGTAATCGATAGATATAAGCTATTCAGCCTTATTTGGTAATCTGTCTAGAGATTGTGAAACATCTATCCCCGGGGAGCTTGGTTCACGCGTCGGAATTTGTCGGTCGGTGTAAACGCACAAGTTCTGAAATTCTTAAATAAATTAAGAATTCTGTTACTTTTGCGCTTGGTTCATGGGGTCGTGTTCAAATTACGGGGGGGGGGATGGTTTGTGTTAAGCTTCGCTCAAATAAAAATAAATCACTTCTGTCCCTAAAAAGAAAATGCCTTGTTCGTCTGCGGCAGAATTGCGCAACTCTGGCCACAGACGAACTAGGCGTTTTCAACACGGTCATTATTGATGAATAAGTTTAGCAAACTTCTTTCCTGTTTTTCTAAACTAAAAACCCCAATTGAAACTAAAAAAAAAAAAAAATTGTTATTACACACTTACACGACTTTTTTTTCCTTGGAATATTTGGAATCAAATAGGAAATAACAGGTGCTACCTGTTATTTCCTATTTGATTAGGCCTAGAAAAGTATGAAAAATGGATAATATTTCCTTCATACTTTGCTTTTGTGTCCAGGATAATTATATTTCTGAATTGTTCTTATTCCCATTGGGAAAACTGGCAAATACAAACATTCTCGTTCACGCAAAACGACATATGATTTATAAGTAGCATTTTTTTTATTCTAGTATTACACAGGAGAGACCCCCAAAAATTAGAAGTACTTTTTTAATGCTGTAAATTTCACGAATCATCCCTCAAATATAGTCTCCCATTATGTTTTCATCATTCGATCCTTAGTAGCGGCATTCAAATCCAGTATATCCGGTGGAAGCGCTTGCCTTGCTCCTCTAAGTACCCCCTCCTCTATATTCAAGATGACTGTCAAGCATATGGACTCTGGGGGACATCCTGCAACCCATTTTACTGTAGTTCTTCATCAGGGTCTCAACAACCTTCAAATAGTTTTCGGCCTTGTGATTCCACAAGAAGCCTCTAAACACTGTGACAAAGCAGTTCCACGCTGTTTTCTTTGTCTTTGTGAGCTTTTTGAGGAATTTCATAGCTTTATTTTCTCCTCTGTACCATTCTACAAAAAAGTAAAATTAAAAACAGGAATATAAAAATACAAATATATTTCACCCAGTGTCCTTGAAAATTCTAAAAATTAGTTTTTATTTTTTGAAATTTCTAAAGATTTTTCACTGGATGTGCAAAATTGTATCTCAGTTAATGTGGTAAATTCCACAAAATACGGAATTGCCATCTATGTTGTTAGAACGTCCCAGAAATTCTTTAAATTTTTAGAAACTTCTAGAAACTTCTAGAAATTTCTCCTTCAATGCTAAATCTAAATAGATTAGTTTCAAAACATCGATGTTTAGGTCACAAAGCAAAGTTTTCAGAAAATAATAGTCATTTCCTTTGCTTTCTAGAAAAGAGCAATTAGGAAATAATACTTAGTAACTAAAGACAAAAAACTTCAAAATTTTGTTACACAGTGTTATTCGTTCACTAAGGTTAAGAGTATAGTGAGCGTAGAAGTCTATTCCGCAAAATAGCGGTTCCAAAGAAAAAAAGCTATCTGAGTGGAACGTCCTTCTTACCCACAGAATGCAAAGAGAGATGAGGATGATACGACCCTGTGGACGTGGCACAGCGGGACTTAGATATCAAGGTCTGAGCTGGTGGAACTAAATAATGTAGCGCGTCTGAACATTTGCAATGTATATAGCGATAGATTTTTGACGTTCCCTCTGTGGGAAAGGGACCGCTGGACGTAAAATAATTTAAAATATCAGATTTGGGCAGCTTCAGCTCAGCTATGGCAGCAATATTCCACTTTTGGTCTGATCTGACTCTTGTAAATATAGAGCATGGCAGGAGGAGTCTGGTACTCTCTGGAGCGGTAAAAGGAACCAAACTTTTTATCATATTTATTTTATGGCTCAGCTTGTACACATCTGTAATTTTATTCTGTATTATAGTTGGGCGTTTTATTAGTTTTCTTTAAATTAGATAGCTCCGCTAAAATCGCGATACCTACGTTTTAAATTAATTTTTAAAAATGAAAAAAACTTTTTTAAAGCTTTCATTTTAGCTTTAATTGAAAGCTAAAGGATTAAATTTACTATTTCCAGTAAGCAAAATACTCGAATTTCGAGCAGAAATTATATTGATTGGAATCAATTTCCAATTCTTTTCCAATAACATCGTCAAAGTCGTTCATTTTTGAGAGATTTGCAAGCACAAGTTATTTCCCAGTTTTTAAAATCTTACAAAAATAAAATATATTTTTCTAAAACTTTATCTGAGGAATATTAGCTGATTTAAAGTAGAATTAATCTGATTTTGAGCTAATATTATTTGCTTTAATTTTAAAATATCGCAAAAATTAATTTTTTATGCAAATAGTACATGGGTTTTTAACCGACAGTTGCGGTGTTTATGTGTTTGACGAGGTGATGACAGATTGATTGTTGTTCTACGGAGATTTTATCTGCAAAACATAATTTATAAAAAAATGACCTGAGCGCCTTTTTCATATACTTTTATATAATTTTTAAGTACTCAGTAATCTTAAAAATTTTGGAAAATATTCTCCGTAATCTAATTTTAGGAATGTTGACTTTAAATATATTATAATCATCGCTCTTATTTTCTGATTTTATCATCTGATGATTTTTTGTTTAAAATTTAATAAATTTTTATAATTAAAATTTAAAATAAATGAAAACAATTCTTGTAAAAATTCATTATTTACCGAAAAAAAGCTTTTTAAGACAATAGAATTAACAATGGATTTTTATAAAAGCAATTAAAAGCTTTTCTAATTAAATAATGTCATGCATTTTTATTTTACGACTCAGAGCAGATTACCGGTAAATGGTGTTTCTGTTGGACATAATATAAAATTATTATAAATATGAAGAGGCTGAAATTTTAATTTCTCCAAATTTCATAAAATTTAGTAAGTGGGTGGGGGTAAGAGATGTAAAAAAAAAGTATTTTTATCAATATTTTCTAAAATCAAAATTTCAAAAATATTTTAATTCATCTGTGAATAAGATTTGAAAATTTCCTTAAATTAATTATTTGATTTTTGCAAAAATTTCCAAAAGAAAATGTATTTCTTACCGCAAAAAGACGCTAATATTCTCTCAGTAATTTTTGGCACCAGTGATGCAAGAAAAAAAAGATTTTTAACCAAAATGCTGACCGTGCTAGAAAGGATATAAAAAAAAAATCTAATAAAATAATGAAAAACCATTTTGGCCTTTCTTAACATTTTGAGGATAAAAATTTGTATTCGTCAAGTTTGGGGCCTTTTTGCATCATGGTATGTTCTTTTTAGTGAAAGCGTGCAGGTACCTGCTTTAAATATACTATTATTTGGTACAAATAAATGTCTCTTTTCAATGTTGCATATTGCAAAAAAAACGGTTTTGCACATGATTCGCCGAAACTGCAAAATGGTAAGCAATTGACGGTTACCTCAATGATCAAATGTTTGTTTAAAATCTCTGGATGGGCTTCACACCTTGAATTTTTAAATATTTTATCAAAATGCTACCCCCGCCAAAGAAATGATATTCCTTCGTCTGACTCCTTCCCAAAAAAGAAAAAAAAAGGAAATAAGAAAAAGATAGAAAAAATACAAAGAATGGATGGACGAATTTGTATAAGTGATAAAATGTTCCCCTATCTAAGAAATAATATTGACTGTTTTTACCCCCGCTAAAAAAGAAAAACGTAACCAATTAGCAGAAATAATGGACGCACTTTTATATTTTATGAAATGTTCCCCCACTCAAGAAATTACATTACTGATCATCGCAAAAAGCAATAATATCACAATACGAACTAGTCGAGAAAAAACAGACGTACAT